TCCGGAGCTGCTGGTGCATTGGTCGGAGTGTCAGCACCACCAGCATTCTCCGAGGCAAGGTATGCCTCACTATAAAATATTTGAAAGGATTATATTAATTTCAATCAGAATATCATCCTTAAGATATGTTATTTCAAAGTGAAATATTTGAATTTACAGCACAATTTGTTATATTTCGAAAAATTATTTAATGAAACTATGTTTGTTTTCATATTATTTAACAAATAAAATGTGTACTTACTGATCAACTGCTGGTACAGCAAATGTACCACTTGGGGTCATCATGGCTCCAGGTGCTTTTGGACCATCTACTGGTACCATAAAACTCCGAGGTATGCCTGTACTCCTTCTTATTTCTATAGCTTCACCCTGTAAAACAATTCCATACTCTATTCATATCATTTTACTGTTTAAATAACAAATAAATATTATCAAAGTGAATTATAATCTTACAGAATTTGCTGCTGGGCAGTCTTTAATCCAGTGACCTTTCTTCTGACACTTATAACAAATGTAATTACTAGGAACAACTCCTCTCTGATTTTGTCCTCTAATTTTCTGATAGCTGAAATATTATGACCAAAATTTATTAATCTCTCTCTCTCTCTATTAAATCTCTATTTTTGATTTTTTTTTTAAAATAATGCAGTAACATAATAACTTGCTTTTAAAGAAGTATACAAGATACCAAAGTAAATAAAATTACTTTGAAGTAATGTTACATTCCACAAAAATTCAACAATTGAAAAAAGTATGTCTTTCTATCCCACAGGGGGTTAGTAATATGGTAACATTTCATCCTAAAATTCTCTAAATCAGCTTTATTGGCATATATGGCTAGACTTTTTTAAGAAACTTAATGTACCATAATTAAATTATAATAATTTTGAATTTAACAATATCTTTGCCTTTAACCTGCTTAATCATAGTTAAATGGTAGTTTAGATAAGTCTTACTTGCTAGGGTCGTAGTCAAAAGTGGATTGTGATATCATAGCATTTATTTTATCCTGTTCGCTACCTTCCATGCGAGACAGATCAGCCAGTCCCTTGTTAACAGCAACATCTTTGTGCAATGATGATGAATTGGCATTAGCTCCTTCCCACTGTTTCTTAGGTTGTTGGGCAAGAGGAACTCTTGCCACAAGAAGTGATGTATTCTTTGGAATTAAGGTCTGGTCATCCACATAAACTGTAATTTAAAAATATACATTTTTCAGGAGTTTAATACAAAAACATTTTAATATAATGCTGTAGGATAACCTAGAAATTTTAACCATAGATCGTATCGAAAATGTTATTAAGAAATGAAGCTTAATTTTGTACACTAACCTTCTTTTGTCTGCGCGTTAGTGATTTGAAGATCGAAATCTGAAGTCTTTCCAATCCTTTTCTGCTGTGATATGGCAGCTTTTAAATCGCCTACAGAAATATGTAGTCCATCAAAAGTGACTGTGTCGTAATCCAATGCACTTTTAAATTTGTAATGTACAGACATTTCCACAAGCAAGAAGAAATTTCAATTTCATGTAACATGACAACATATGTTCACGTATCCAGCCTTTTCTTCATAAAGGAAAACAATTTTGATCAAATTAGATTTGCAAGCAGGTTTATTACAATTGATATTACAACACTTCTAACGCTCTAAATAATTCACGAATCACAAGTTAAATGATATTACGTGAATAATTACACAAAATACAATTAATACCGGTAAATTAATAAATACTTAGTGATGGAACAAACAACTAAATAAAATGTAAAATAAGAGCGATTAGCGATTCAACGACAGCCAAGCGCCATTGATGCACATTGATCATCATAGAGTAGGTTATGTTCAGTTTGCCAGTTATCTCCAAAATTGTAAAGAATAAATAAGAAACTCTTTAAACTAACCAAAATTAACACAATTTGATTGTTTAATTGTTTATTTCAACTGATGATTGTAAATTGTATTATTTTTACACCTAGGGAAGCCCAGATGGTATATAGTTACATAGGTATATTTTATACAATCTATACTTCTAGTTTTCCTTATGTATTTTTTTTGTTTCTCGCTATTTTTTATCTGTGATGCAAATTAGTGTCTAGTATAGTCTATGTCCTCTTTGTCTATGTCTAAATATTCGTCTGTCTGTCTGTCCGAGCCCGAGGAAAAAATATTTTGAAAATTATTATACTCAAATTTAGAAAGAAATTAATATTTCCCTTAGTATATCTTTTTCATATTTACTATGTTTAGAAAGAACGTTTTGAAACAAAAATACGTAATTTATACCTGACCTTTCTTAATACACGGAAGCAATAATGGTACGTAACATTATAAAACTCAATGTTTTTAACAAGTTATAAATTTAATGAATAATTATGTTTAATTTACAATATAAATAACATTCTTTGTTTACAGATTGCAAATACTACATTACAATTAACGTTTTTGAAAATATTTTCTTGATCACTATGTTTCATAGCATTTCTGGAATAGTGTACAAATTAAATTGTACATGTGTAGTGAATAAAGGGTTTATGTGTTGGTGGAACGTATTTCACATTTTGTCCAATGGGCCATTGTCTAAGTTGCTTCAAAGACCAAGCCAATACTGATATAGCTACAACTCAAAGGAAGAAAGATGGTGAGTTTTGATCATTGCTGTTTTTGTGATAATTGGTCTAAAGAGTTGTTTATAATAAATATTGAACTATACTTATTATTTTTAATTTTATATACTCAAAAGTATTGTAAATATAATGTTAATATAACTTTGTTTAATTGGTCAATACAACAATGTACTGATTTACCTCGAGGTAAATTGTATATTGTACAACAAATAATCTATGATTAATGTATGTCCTCACAACAAACGTGATATTTTAGGCTTAAATGGATACTATGATATTTTATCTAATAAAATGATAAAAAACATGTAAACACAAAACTACATTAATTCTTAACTTACTGTCAACTAGTTGATAACAAATTTAACATAATATTTTATACTGTTTGTATTACTTGTAAATGTAAATCTATTTTTTATGTATTCCAGAGATGAGAGAAATTGTGACCACAAATCAAGTGCCCACCGTCATGGTGTCTGACTACCCACAAGAAGAACCATTGCTTCACAATAATCAAAATAACATTAATTCTCATAGAAATATGCAGAATGCAAATACTGTGAATTCATATAATGAGCACAGCACAGGAGAATTGACAATTATACAAAAATCACACACAAATTCAGATAAGATTCTAAAGCCATTTTATCAAAAGTTGCCGTCTTTGCCCCGAACTATGTCTTCTATCAGTTCAAATGAATCTAGAATATCTGAAAATAAAATTAATCAATTATTTGATTTATACAAGGATTCTTTGGAAGATGCAATATTAGCTGAAGGAATTGAAAATCTTTGTAATGATTTACAGTTGAATCCGGATGATTTCAAAGTATTAGTGCTTGCTTGGAAGTTAAATGCTAGTCAAATGTGTAGATTTACACGGCAGGAATTTGTGCAAGGCCTGAAAAACCTTAAAACTGATTCAATCAAAGGTGTACAAACTAAGTTAAATGAAATAACAGCAGATTTGACAAGGGATTCTGAGAATTTCAAGGATTTATACAGATTCACTTTCAAATTTGGTTTAGATGTTAGCATAGGACAACGAATATTGCCAGCAGACATTGCTATATTATTATGGAGATTAGTTTTCACAAACAATGAACCACCTATACTTGACAAATGGCTAAAGTATCTTGAAAAAAACCCTCACATCAGAGGCATTCCTAAAGACACCTGGTACATGTTTTTAAACTTTTGTGAATACATTGGAGATGACCTTAGCAGTTATGATGATAATGAAGCATGGCCGAGTTTGTTTGATGACTTTGTGGAGTATGAAAATGATCAAATGAATCAAAATATAACCAAAAGCAACATCAAAGTAGAGGATTAAAAACTAATGTTTGCCAAATTTTAGCTACCGTAGGTACTTAATAAATGGATATTGAGACTGATAATCTGATAATGAATGTTTGTAATCAACTCCATGAAGGAGGTTCATTACTGCTAAGTAATGCTTATGACTCAAAATGTTAGTTACGGTGGTAGTGTTGTGGTGATGTGGGAGATGTCATCATGTAAATATTACTTTATATTTTGTAACTAATGATTTGTATAACTATATTATGCCTACATAAGTTTTTAGTTTTATGGATTTATTAATGACATTCCAGTGATGGAATAAACCAAATCTGTATATTTTTTTGTTCTATTCTACAAACAAAATGCTTATGTACACTGAGTAATCTAAATATTTCTTACACTATCCACTTTTATTCTTTAATTTCCTAAAGCCTAAACTTGCACCATCCAAAATGCCTGCTAAACATAATACAAATAAATTAATGACAATGATTTTTATTAAAAAATTACACTTAAACGTTTTTTCTTAATCTCTAAACCTCTATTTGTTTTAACGAAATATGTGTGTATGTTTCATTAAGTATTATATTTATATTTTCATAAGGAATAAAATTAATACATATACATTTCAAAAATCTTGTTGAGATAATAATTTTCACACTATATTTCTATATTATTTTTATAACATATCACAACCTAATTAGAAAAGGTTTTTAAAAATAGTTTTCAGTTTTTGCTATTTCATAGGACAATTTTTAAAAAATTCACACCACAACTCTAACTTGATCACAAGACAGATCAAGAATTATTATTTATTAAGATTTATTTTATACGACCTATAAAACAATTTGTATATGTTATATTTTAAAGACGAGAGTAAGTTCTAAGTATTTCTCTTATTCTTAATGTTTTTTTAATGCATTCAGGTATATGGCCTTACATACTATTCTAGTATTCTTAGGTAAGGATATACAAATTTGTGCCTGTCAATCATCTCTAACTATACAGGTAGGAAATATAAATAAGTTAATACAATTTCAGGTATGAGGTAGGTGATAGCAATTAAAATACTGGTGGTGCAGTTAATAAAATTTTATTTTAAACAAAATAATATAGTCGCAGGCTGCCAGTGGTCGCTCGGTGGCTCGCTTGGGTCGCGAGGCGCACGCGGCGCGCCGGCCGGCGGCAACGGAAGGCACTAAGGCGCCCTACTCTCCCCTACGAGCAAGCGTGTCCACAAATAAACTATAGCACGGATCTAACCAGATGGGGTGCCGCGTACGCCTCACGTTTCATCCACTGATATACATAAAATATCATTAATAATATAATTCAATCCGCCACTATATACGTAAAACCGATTATATTAAAAAAAAGCTGGAAATTTATAAACCCACAATATACAATTTATAACAATTCGGAGATTGACCCCTAACCGCAGGAGATACTATGTTGAATGTGTATCATTTGGCTCGCCGTAAGTACTCTTTGTGTCTAATATTAAGGCATGGCGAAGAATCCAAGTCGTCCTATTCCGAAAGCTACATACAAAACTGATGGACCATTTCTTAAATGTAATAAAGTTCAAATGGCATCGAGACAAAAGCTAGCAGCTTTCATACCGCAGCTTTTGTTCTCGGCACATTCCAGCTCAGCCTATGTATTTTGTTTTCAAAGCGATATCTTCTATAAAAAAAATTATATTTATATTAAAATATTGCAAGTAATTAACATTATGAATATACATGAATCGTGTTCCATTTCATAAATATAAAATTGCTTCGGTTTCAAGCACACTTCAATTCTATATCAACATGTATACCATACCGCATAGCAAATCACTTGAAACATAATCTTGTTTTTAAAATAGGGAACAATACTATAATCATTACTTATGTTGTTATTAAGTGAAATATAGTGATTACTACATCTGTTAGGATGATCAAGTTACAACTAAAATATTTGTTTGTTACTATAAACAAAAGTTAAATAGTTCTTAGTTGAGTATTAGAATCAACTTTTATTGCTACGATTTATATCAGTAAGCAAAATACGCAAGCGGTTGACCATCCTAGCAGCGACTACACGAGAGCTCATCCATCATACAATCACAAAACGCTTTTAAAATTAAGAGCTCCAAACTTTTGGAAGAACCTGCCGTCCAAACGTGTTCTGCTAAAATTATATTTTTAACCTACATTATTATATATACTTTTTAGACGAACATCAATTATCGAGGAAAATGTTATAAAAATAGGACTCTTGAGTGCACACCAAAATTTAATATTACATTATTAACTGCATCTGCCGAGCTTACGTGCTAGTACTTGCAGTACTTGGCGTTATCTCACTACCCTTTCAAATAAACAGCAATTCTCTACGTAAAATAATTTAGTTCGTTTCTTCCACAAAAGAAAACTACATCGTTTTAGAAGATTATCTAATACCCACATGTTAGTTATAAATAAGAAGAGATCAATATGAAACTACAAATAATTTATTCATAAATGCACCGAGTTCGTGTCGTTTTGATGTGAGTATAGAAACCAATAAACATTTTAGACATTGATACATCCCGAGTTATTATAAAATAAGTTTATGGGCCATTAATAAAACATAATTTAATTATATTCAAATAGTATGACACTAAGATGACATATTACGAACAGCATTTTCATACTGACTCGCTTCTTGTTTAATTCAAGGTATAGCTCGAAACACGAGCGTAGAAACTACGCAGTGGGCCTATCACGAATATTTGTGACAAGCGCCTTCGTTTTATCATCGTCAATTATATCAAAATTAGTCTGAGATTTTTGGTGTACTATACGCCTGATAGGGGGCGCTGCACAAACTTTAATACAAATTTTGTCAATGACTATACGAAGGAGCTTATCGCAAATATTCGTGCTACACCCCCGTAATAACACAACTTAAAGATACATTTTGATCAACATTGAAAAGGTAATAAAGAAAATATTATAATTTACGTATCAATATTCAGTATTTATTCTACAAACATGTAGTGGAGAGAGTAAAATGATTGTAATGATCAAGTATTTAACAACCAACTGTTAAGCGGAGTAATAGTCGTGAGTTTCTACTGTCACGTTCCGAGCTACGTACAATTTCATACAAATGATATGGTAAAAGGAGAGCGTAAGATAATTAAAACACCAATCCAAAACAGTTAACAGATTTTCTTTGTTCTTAAATTGTGTAAAATGCAAGTAAACTAAGTAATCAATTTAATACACGCCGTCTATAAGCAGGATAGGATACATTATATTTAACAAACATATAATCCACATATACAAAGTTCAAGCAAATAAAGTTTACATACATAGGGCTTGTAAGAGAATCACGGCTCACTTTTCCTTGTAAGCTGATGCAATTAATGTGAGAGACATTGCTGTGTATATGCATTTGTGATAACATTATATAAATAACACTTGTATAAATATGTTTTTACCACCATTAAAATAATATAGCATACTGTCTGCAGAGTGCAGATCCGGCGGCAGTGGCTTGCTTGCTAACAGTTCATCTTCCGTGCCGTGATGTCGCAGTCTGTCGTCTGTCCTCTAGCCGACCTAATGTCCACAAGGTTGAAGCAACACTCGAGCTCTCACATCCCAATACTCAGGATTACATATTACATCCACTCTCATGATATAGGTTTTGGAAACGCCTATCCTACCTAAATTACAATCGTACGGCCAAATTTACTCAATCACTTTCAACACTTTGCCAATTGCGATCGTTTTATCTGAAAACAAAATGTCACATATTACTAAAACCTTTATAAATTAAATGACCACAAAAAGCATTTTAGTATTTTTATTTTCCTTCAATTTTAATATAACCGTTTGTATTTTATTAAAATGTTCTTATGACTATGTCCAGCAATGAATACTTACAATGTCAATATCAAATTCAATGTCCAATACAAAAAAATCCCATGTAAAAACTAAAACATTATTTAACTATAAGAAGTTTGTGCAATATAGAAGAGTCAGAAGCCAAGTACTTACTTTCGTCTCTTAAGGTGAATCTGCCCATTTGAGCAAACTTCTTGAAGGGTTCGAGGCAGATGACGCCGGCGCACTCTATCCTCATGATGGCGACCTGGTCCTGCTTCACGAAGCGCGGCCGCGTCTTCGACTTTTCTCCAGTCTTCTTGTCTACCAAACAGATTAGGGCCTGCACAAATATAAAAACATTGCAATTTACGGTATTGGTTAGTAAATTACATATTACGTATCATGCTGTATATCTACATTTGTAGTTTTCGGCTCCCTTGAAAAAAAAAATATTAATGTGTAAAAAGAGCACCCTATGTATGAACTAGTATAGTAATAAATATAGCTTATGTTATTATATTAAAAATGTGATTTTGTAAAGGAAAGCGATTTTTTACGCGTTGATTTAGTAAGTACCATTTAAGGCTTCGTAAGTCTAACTTGGCCTTTAATTAGTTAACTCCACTTATTAAATTAAACTTTTGTTGGATAACTACTGGATTGATACTAACCTTAACAGTAACTTCCTCAGCAGCACAATGTATGTGCATGACGGCGGAATATCCCGCACATATAATGGACTTGTGCTCCAGGATCACCACCTGCGCGTCAAACACCTGCAAAATACATATATATATATCCATTAATATACGCACAAAAGCTATGTATTTCAGTTTGAAGTGGGATATTTCAAACGATTAAATATTTTTCTAAAATGTTACGTCATATTGTAAAAAATTCCATATAACAGAAATAGATGTTAAGCAGTAAATTTTGCCCAAATTCATGGCAAATCAAATTTTACATGTCTTGTAACATTGAATTGCTAATATATGATAAATATAATAATATTAACATGTTTTTCTTAATAGAGCAACCACTTTGACAAACGGTTAGCATGCATACATCTTGGCTCGTATAATCCGAAAGAAAACGGATAATACTTTTATGCTATAAATACCTTAAGTAAATGTAATAATTTCCTGTTTTGCATTAACTTATAGTCAGATAAAGGAAAATTAACTCTTATTGGATTACCATAAATGAAGTCTTGATTTTCTTGGTCTTAGATTAAGCAATATAATTTTTTTTGTCTTTTCACATATGATTCTTTGCAATCAACTCACTCTGCCCGTGGTGATGGGTTCCACGGTGTCGCACAGCACGAAGCCGGGCGATACATCCTCCTCCTCAATGCCCTTCAGCTTCACCTTCACGTTCTCGCCGGGCCCGATGGATGTCACCTCGATGTCGTCCGACCACAGCTGGTCCACTGTCACTTGCACCTATCACAAATATCTTTATTCATTATCACAATTTAAAATTCTATATTAGTGAAGTAATACACAGAATTATTTTTCTACTAAACATAAAAACTGTCTTGTTCATAGAATAATGTTAAAAAAAATACGGTATACACTTTTTGTCATATTTGGATTGTGTAATAATTATGAAGAAAAATAATAAGTATGTAATAAAACACTAAACAGTGATAAGCATCTTACTTATTGTTACTACATAAAAATTTGCATTTTAGATTTCAAATTATTCAGTCGGTAAACTGAATAGTTTTAATATATTTATGAATACAAACTTACCCTATTAGGCATGAGGTAAAGTGTGCTACTTTTGCGCGTTGTTCCCGCTTCAACCTTGCCCATGAGCACAGTGCCCATATCCTTGTATTTGTCCACAACGGGCATGATGAAAGGACCGTCCATCTTCCGGTTCAGTGATGGTAGCTCATCAATCAGTTGGATGAATGATGGTCCACGGTACCATGGGCAGATCTCTTCAGATACCTAGAAATTAAGTTTTAAAAAATCAGCATTCTTACACACAAAACCATCATATAGTCTTTGTAACATATAAATATCTTTCTTTTCATGATAAGTATATAAATATAGTACATTGAATAATAATATAGATAAATGCAAACAGCATACATTTCTATCAAATAATAGTAGAACCTACTGTAATATTTATTTTGAACATAATTTTCATTTAATAACCTATATGAGATTACGTTATATTCTTATTAAGGTTAATAGGATTATATCCACTCGTCATTCATCAACATATTTAAATGCGCTCACCCTTTCCAATAAGCCCTGTCCAGTCTGACCGGACACTGGTAAGAAGGACAAATCCTTAGCGGGATTGAAGCCTAGCTTCTTAAGGTACGGTAAGATCTTGTCTCGACATTCATTGTATCTGAAACATTAAAATTATAAATTTTAAAAATGTTATTACGTTCAACATGGCTTTTGCTATAGACAAAATCCTTATGAAACCTATGTTTATTGAGTAGTACCCATGACACCAAAAGTAAAAGATTTATGCCCCAGGACCATTAAAAATATAAAATAAGCTGTCAGAAAAAGCATTTTAATAATCTTCCTTTCAAATTAATTTACCTCTTTTCTTCCCAAGCTACAGTAGGATCGTCCATTTTGTTGACAAGTGCTACAAGATGTTTGACTCCGGCAGTCTTTGCTAACATGGCATGCTCTCTGGTCTGCCCTCCTCTGTCAAATCCAGTCTCAAATTCTCCTTTACGGGCAGAAATAACCTGAAATTGAAAAATAAACAATTGACACGACAATTTTATACAACACACAATAATTTTGAATATTTTATTGAAATTGTTGAGTGACATTGACACGTAAGTCGTCGTTCAATCATCCATTTGTCAAAAAAAAACCATCACTCAGTCTATCTTTTCATCTTGGAGGTATAATTAAGTAATCAACCTTGACAATGCGTTGTTGACCATTCATATAAGAAAATTCCGCGTAAAGGAACATAGGTTACAAGTTGGCATGGCAACTGACATATAACTTATATGCTTGCTTTAAAACAAGTTAAATTAAAAGTAATACATACCAGTACAGCAAGATCTGCTTGTGCCGCACCACCAATCATGTTTGGAACAAAACTTTTATGCCCTGGAGCATCGAGTATTGTGAAATGTTTCTTATCAGTCTCAAAATATGCTCTTCCAACCTCCACTGTCTTTCCCTTGTCACGTTCTGTGTAAAAAAAATAACTAATTAGTGTGACTACATTTTATATGTTAATGTGAAAAACTGTAATAAAGAGAGTTATTTGTGAGGGACATATATTTTTTATATTCTATATTAATTGCTTGGCAATTTAATAATGGTAATGAGCAGAAATTATGGAAAAAAATCGGTTTTAAGCTCATAGCTATGTTACTTACATTATGAAAAGCATATAATTTATGTGTACATTACTGATGCATTAAATCCTTGTTGAATAAGTAAAATTTGATATTAGTGTATTAAATTGATTCACTAATATTTTGAAACAAAATACGAACCTTCTTGGTTTGTATCAAGTGCCCACGATAAGTACCAAGACTCTCTTGATTTTTCTCTCGCTTCTCTTTCATATTTTTCCAATGTTCTTTTGTCCACCATTCCCGTCAACGACATAATTTGACCACCAATTGTTGATTTACCAGCATCTATAACAATTTGTATCTTAATTGAATTTGATTACTAAAAATATTATTAAATGAAAAAAGATTTATTAATAATATTCAAGAAATTCTATATGAAGATAATGAAAACAGTTCATTTTTTAATAATGTTTTCTATTGATTAATAAGGCCAAAATAAACTAGCTTATAAAACTGTATTAACAGTGTGAACTGGCTGGAGTAAGTCCATATTCTTCATACATATGCAAATTAATTATTTGGTATCTCAGTAATTTGAAAAACTAAACACCTAAAACTAACAAAATTAAGTATTAAAACTCACCAACATGTCCAATGAATACTACATTCACATGTTCCTTCTTGCTTCGGGTATCCTCCACTCTGACTGGCTTCTTCTTAGGAATCTTTTTCGCTGCTTCTCCATCTTCCTGCAAAGTTTATAAACCATTATGTAATAAAATAATTTAATAGTAAAAATAATCCAAATACCAAATAAAAACTAAATGACATTCCCGGAATGAAACCTTTATTAAAAAAGTTGTTTAAACCAATTAAAGTTACATTAAAATATAATCCACTTTCTAGACAGGGCTAAAAGGTATGTTATATAAATGACTTGCTTTAAGTCAAGGATTTCAACAAATATATTCTTATATACAGTGTGTAAGACTTTCGGACCAACTATTGAAATTAGTTAATTTACATGATTTCTTGTAGAAACACTCTTTTTAATATCTTGGCTTGACAACATATGACAAATGATAAAATTGTTTGTTTAAGATATAGCCCAGTAACATTTAAGATAAAAAAAAATACCATGAACAATAATTAAAAACAAGTAGTGTTAGTTTATAGTTATTATATATTAAAAAAAAATTTCATACCCTTGCCATTTTTTCAACACAGACACCAAACTATGATAAGGTTGTAATGAAGATATTATGAAAAGCAAACAAGAACTTTATCACTCACTTGGCTGTCAACTAAGTTAAAAATAACTGTATTGCAAACAAAAACTATGTATAAAAGTGACAACACATTTCATTGTGTAGTAAAATCTACTAACAGGAAGACCTTATACATGCAAGTCCCAAATTATAGCCCAATAAAATCAAACTATAAATGTACATAGAATTAAAGCATAGACAAACAATGAGTAAAACTTAGTACAATTTGCATGTACAAGCTATACTCAAATAAAATTTGAGGAAATCTTTATGACCGATAAGGTCATATGACTCATTTGAATGACTATGAATTTGGAATATTAATGGAAAGTAAAAAATAATCCATGCAATTACAGTAGCCTGCACCTGTTGCTCCGTTTCTTCTTCTTCTGGCTCATTGTTGTCTTCAGGGGTTAAGAGAGCATCATCAGCATCAGCATCCCAACTGTCAATAGTCGGGGAGGAGTCAGACTGAACGGGAGGGGGAGCTGCTACTACAACTGTTGCAGGTGGAACAGGAGGAGGCTCCTCCACCCGAGGCGAAGCTGAAGCAGCACCAGCATCACCACTGTCACCAGCATCACCACAACCTGGTGCAAAATACACCATTACTGTATTTTGTCACAGATTCTAAGCAATTTCTAAATAAATTTTAAAAGCTGTTAATGTCAAAAAAAAATTCCACTGAAATTATATATTTTTTAACTTGTGTGCAATGGAGTATCAAATACCAAAGGAAAAAAGTTGTAAAACTTTCATTCAAGTTTATAAATTTATTCACACTACCATTATGACACAAAAAAATAAAATAGATCATGGATAATTGTGCTAATCACATAAGTGTTACATATTGTTTAAAAAACCTTATCAGAAAATGCCATGTGGCAAAATCAGAGGTTTTTTTATGTGAATGTTACAAATTAATAAAAAGTAGAGAAACATTTTAATAATGTCACCTAAATATACACATTAATCTTGTAAAGGTCTAAAAAATTGGAGCCATTCTACATTAACATAAATTACAGAATTATTTAACATTGATATGATAATGATATAGGATTTCACATATGGTCAATTGGTATATTTTATCTAGGTTATATATGAAAAGGATTGTGTTTGGGGCATACTTGAATTTGGTTTGGACATGATATTATTTGGGCACCATAAGATTCTTAATTAGTTGTAAAATGTTTTGAAACAAAATTGTACTTGAGAAAATGGGTTGTTTGTACATAAAATGTTTAATGTAACGCATAATTCACGACAAGTACATATTAAACTAAATAAAACGCACCTCTACTGTGTTCCATTTGTAAATTTATTAAGCGACTGAACGAACTTCTCCAAGAGAAAGTTTAATGATGTAAAAGCAGAGCCGCGCGCCGCGTGTCTCGGACATAACCCGTTAGAACTGGATTTAGAAAATCACTTGTCGAATCAGCAACACGTTGACGTGAATGTTTAATTAAATTTAGTTTTCAAATAATGTCAGTCATCACTATATTTAAAAAAATATATACCGGGTAAAGTTTTAAATTACTTTTCTACGGAAATAAATAATGACATTCGTATGACTAACCGTTTAGGACAGGACTCTCTGCAGAATTTGTAGAATCGCTTTCAGATTTTTGTGGTGTGGTAGGTGATTCAGAACTATCGCTAGCCTGTGAAGGCTGACAAAAAGAAGGCACGAACTCCACGGCATTCACATTCAACGTGGAAAATTTTGTAGACACATCATTAGAATCTTTTGCACCTTGTTCACCTACGACTTCGGCTTGATTTTCCCACGAGTCCGGAGCACCGTTATTGGACATTTTTAAATATGAGATAGTGTAAAATTACTAAATAAGTCTTAATTTTTCAGATATTTTTGTAATTATTCGCGTTCTTTTCTCGAGAGATCCGCGTGTGTCTTTATCTTACACCGGAAGTTCATGGCAAATTGCCAAATATGTATTTAATACCTGTGAGTAGTGGCAAAGTTACAAGAAGTTAATAATTCTTTTTATTAAATTATTTCAATATTTAGAAATGAAATAAGACTCTTTCGTAAACCTGTAATGGAAAAATGTAATTTAATTTCTCGTGCCACCTAATTAAACGTACTGCTCTTGAATTCAGACTTCCGGTGCTGCCACAATATCAAAAATTAAGCACACAGGCAACATACAGGATTGGAACAGAATATACAAAAATTTTAAAAGAATATAAAATTTTGAAATCTTTTGCCTAAGAGTCCATAAGAGTCACTGATATCATTAGACATTATGGTATTAACAAAAAAAATCAACCCTCGCCTCCTAGCCAATCCAAATTGCGGAAAAACTATAGAACTGATTTCTTGTAGTGCCGACAGCAATTTTATTAAAAATATATACAATTACAGACTGACAGAAAATATGTACCTATTTTCTGTCAGAACTTAACGTGGTAGGAGCACCTACTACTACTACCTGCTAATTAAAGCATCTGGCTTGATATCCTTGTTGTACCTTGGTTCTATGCTCTTCTGTTTGATTTAGACACAGTGAAAAGTATTTTACTTCAAATTTTAATTACCTAAGTACTCTTCGGTTGAAAACAATGTCTACTGTCATCTGTCAAATCATACGCCATACAATTACGAATCAGATTGTCAGTTTGCTTGAATCGTTATATTTCAAATTTGGTAAAGGTTTATTTGATTTTGAAACAAATAGTGAATTAAAACATACATAAAGTTCTAAAAATGTGCACAGTTGAAGGGAATTGGAATTATGAATTCGATATATTTAATATCGAAAAAAGCAATTTTTCTAATTTTGAAATAATAATGAATAACTTTCAAGAGTGTGCATTGAAAACATTTGAAAATACCTTTACAGCAGAAGATCGTACTTATAAAGACATAACACAGAAAAGTGACGATGATTTAAGAGACCTTATTGAAAATAATAAAACTTTAAAACAGAAAATTGATATAAAACTTAAGGAACTTCAGCATCAACAAAAACAATATGAAACTTTCAAGCAAGGTTTGTTAATAGCGGTTTTACTATGAAGTATTTATTTTATTGAATGTATTGTACAGAAATTTGGTGAATTTTTCTAATTCAAATATTTAATGTAACTTTGCAAATACAAAACATACATGACTGGTTTGCACTATTATTTTGCTCAGAGTTATAAAAACTTACAGCTAAACTCAGAGTGTTGTAATGATCAGTTAGTAGTCCATTAGTGGGATGCAATCAAATAAATCTAAAAAACTTTTTGCTCAAGTTACCAATGAAAGACTATTGGGCCAATACTGAAATGACATTTTAAAATGTAAGTGTCTTAAATGATGAGGCCACGCTTAGACACCAAAATTCCATTGAAATTTTGTTAAGTAAAAGATTGCAAGTTTAAGATTTGTTACAGTATTTGTGGTGGAGTAGGCCAATTTGTCTTCTAGTTTTGAAAAACAGTAAGAACATAGATAGAAAGTTTAATTAATTGATACTCAAATATATCTTTAAGTGTATATAATATCTTATCCCTTTTTTCAGATCAGAAACTTTTGATTCAAGAAATTAAAGAAAAACATGAAGCATTTTTGATGGCAAAGAAATATTATAAGAAATTCTTAAGAATGTATTTCACAATTGAATCCAGAAGTAATGATAGCCAAACTATATTTGTACAATTTTTTAACGAAGCAAGAAAAGACTCTGAAAAATACAGTGTTCGGTTACTAAGAAACATCTGTAAATGCAAATATGAATGTAAGAACAATTTTTTTAAAGATACAATAATAGGCAAAGAGCATTATGTAATATTGTATGTACCTTCAGTTAATATTTCATCCATGTTTTTGTAGTGTTAATTAAATTCACGCTATTAAGTTCTACTTTTTAAATAAAAAAATATGAATTTTTAAGCAACTTCTAAACTTACTCATATTTAATACATATTATTTTTAGCACACTTCAAAAAGAAGGTGGTTATCAATTTATCTCTATGTTTTTATGAAAACTTATCAAATGTTTGTTTTCTTGTTTCAGTGCAAAGTACAAATCCACAGTTAAAAAACATCAAAGAGCTACAAAGGAAACTTCAAGATACCAATGATGTGCCCGGCATCCTGAGTTGCATCAGAAAATCTTTTTTAACAATAAAAGATTCAACAAAACGTTAGTCACATAAGTTCTTGATTTTGACCATAAATTAATTAGGATAAGGTGTGAAATAAAATGTAATATTATTATATTAAAATACTTTATTAAAATCATTCAACAAATATAAAATAGTTGCAATTCCATCCTGAGGTAATAAACTGGCTCATTCACTTCACAACTGTTATATATAAATCTTTTATATATTATAAATATTTTTCTCTATATTGGAAAGAATTAACAAGACAATTTTATGTCCCATCAAATATGTATACTACCAACATATAAATAAAATTTGTACATTTCCATTAATATTAATTGCTTAAAAGAACTACAATTTAACAAATATCGTCAAGTAATAAAACTAATGTATTAGATAAAATTTATGATTTATGACATAATTAAATGATTTATTCAAAACAAAATTAGCATTTTGCATGTTAGATTCAATAGTATTAAAGCTAAATCCATAATTAGGACTATGAGTATAGTGATCGGCAAATAACTTGAATAGAAAATAATATAACAATGAAAAGTGACAAAAATAATTGATAATTGACAATAACAAAATAACTAACCAGACTAATTAATCAATATTTACTATAAAAATAGAAATCCACACAACTTTCAAGATATTTGCTGGACTCTATACTAAAATTATTATTTTTTAAAGGAGAATTTAAATAAATACTAAATTATGTTATTTGATAATTCAAACAGACTGGGTTAATGTCTTTACAATTACTGTGCTTTTGCTTTTTGAGCTACCCCACAGCTATTACTAAAAAAACTTTCAAGATTCAACATTTCAAAAAATAACACTATTGTGTATTAAATTAAAAAATACATTCAATAAAATATATTACTAATATATTTTTTAATTAAACAAAAACAATCGTAATATTGTGAAAAACATTTCTATGCATTCATTTATTTTAATAAAATAATGAAACATTAAACAAATTAAAATGTAAATAATATTTTTTTCCTCAATATTTTAACAAAAAATAATCTTTCATAATACACTATAAATAAGCATAGCATACTTATGCAATAATTCATTTTACCAAATATAATAATCTTAAAACATAAACTAACTTTAATGAAAAATTATTTTATTTCTGGATTAACGATACTTCTATTTTAGTAACATAAAGTTAATTTTGTAATATTTTAAATAAAAAATATATCATTGTAAACTTCTTTCATTTATAATCAATAACATCTTATTATTAAATTAAACACATAATTCAATATGCCCTAAAAATAAACAGTAAGCAATAACGAGTTAGGAAAATCAGTTAGAAAGAGACAACTGACGTTTCGTGTTTGTATAGCGTTATCTCTCATAAAATACCATACTTATGAGATATAATGCTTTGTGCGACAGAGACAACGCTCTACAAAGGTGTCGGACAAAGCATGTCAGGAAAATATGTCTTTTTATTGTAGACTTGTCAAGTCATATACAAAATGTATATTTAGAAGTCCATTGCAAGTAAAATTAAAGAAACTATGTAATAGGAATATGTCCGTTATATATTTTTACATTGTAAAGGATGTAGTCATTTTAAATACTACTTCATAAATGAAATTACTTGTCTGTAATTTTTAGGATTACGTAAAGGAGTTAAAGGTCGACATATTACACAATATTCAACTATTATAGTATAGGATGTACATAAAACAAAAAATATATAATTTAAAAACATAAAATAATACTTTGTTATTTAATAAATGCAAGTTATTTCTGCAAATGTTACTGAGATGTTTAATGCTATTTCAAAGATATAAAATCAATAGGATAAAAATCGACTTTTAGGACATTTTTAGTTTACCGTTGAGGTCACCATTAGTATCGGTAGGTACATCTTTGTTACCTTTGGAAGACATCGGTGGAAGTTCATGTGTTGACGTACTGGTTGACATATTGCCCGACTTGCTCGGTAATAATAATGCACCCAGTGCAATAAAATGTAATGAATAGTAAAATTTCCTGAAATTAAAAAAAAAACAGGGTTATGTGAAACTGTAATTCGCGGACCTGAGGCATTAAGCCGGTATGGTAATATGGACTTTGTATTCAAAATAGGCTCTTCCATTTTCAACAGCCTCCTTAACCATATCTATAGTTCGCCTTATTCTAGTTTTTCACAACAACTTTTATAAAAGTTTATAAAATGAAGAATATCGTATTACCCATAAAAGGCCAGGCTAGGCGCAAGATGAAGCAGAACAAAAGGCACAGTGGCGTAGGTCATAGCGACGCGGGTCGTTATGAACGTCAGCGAGTCGTAGAAGAACTTCTTCGGTCTGCTGTCTAAGAACATCGGACGAATCACGGTCCGCACCTAGGAACGAAATAAGAAAAAGAAAGTTACAGACCAACACGTAACACAATATTAAAAAGATTTTAATTTATTTAAAAACCTTCTCTACATATGTAGTTGCGATATTTTTTTTTTCTTTAGCTCTATTACTACGCTTACCTTCTTAGCGGCGACTGTGAACAGTCCCCCAGCAAAGAATGTGAGATAGTATCCTGGGTGGAAGCCGTGCCAGAGCGCGGAGAGTGCGTAGACGCGCGCGGTGCCTGCACCACCGCCGCCACGCGCGTACGCCACGCTGCGCAGCCACGTGTTCGTGTTGCGGTTCCAGCTCGCAACCGCCGTGCGGAAGTTGCCCGCGAACTGACCCACACAAATACATTACGTTACATTTATATAAAACTATCAGAATTAAAAAAAAACTACAGACTACATATATGAATAGCTATTGTAAAGAATATAGTTCTTTTCAAATGTCTTTGCGGCTAAAAGTTAACGGCGCGCTACGCAGTGACTCGCGCGAAGTTAAAAGCCGCCAAGATATTTGAAAACTGCTATACACACTACACACACGATATTTCAGAGAACTTGGGCAGAATCAGAGAAAGAACAACGAGGTTAGACGTAGACATTGCATATTTCATATGACCTAGTATGTTAATGCCGTCATAAGACATAGACTTTTATAAGTATTTACCTCAAATCCGAAGACATCAATGTTGGACATTTTGTCCCATTTGGGGGTGCCGTCGGCCTCGTAACCATTGAAGCCCATACCGGAGTTGTTGCATATGGCCTCGGAGAGCAGCCACGCGTGGTAGTACTTGCATCTCACCACCAGCGTGGAGAGATAGGCGTACCACAGCAAGTACACCGCCGACCACGACCGAGACACCTCCGATGTAGGGTCTGTTAGTTCTACAAAATGGAAATATTTTTTTTAATTAAAAAAATAACAAACAAAAAAGTACGAAGAAAAACAAAAAAATCATGAAAATATTTTAATACCACGTATTTAACAATGCAAAATCAAATTGCATAAAATACAATTGTGGAGGCGATGTGAAGTATTTTCATGATATAAATATGCCGTTTGTCTCTTTTGTTCACATTTTTTTGTTGCTCACATTACAGAAAATATTCAAAACATATAAAAATATCGTGTAAAAACGAAAGTATATGGATGAATGTTTGTTATATGGTAATACAAGAACGGCTGTACGGATCTGGGTAATCTTTGTTAAAGATATAGAAAACAGTCTGGATCGTGTAGGCATTACCAAGTTTTTCCGCGAGCACGAAGTCACGGACAAAATTAAATAAATTATAATTTACGTCAGACATTGACATTGGAAATTGCATTGTCACTCGAAGGTTATATATCGCAATTCATTATATTAAATTCATTATATTCAGTCATTAAAAAACATTGAATATATAACCTACAAATTTGACTTTTAAAATTAATACTTGAAGACAAGTAATTCCAAAGCGAAATTAAATTACTTAAATTTTAGTTTTATTACAATGAAAATTCTGGTCACAAAATTTAGGTTCTTATTCTTTAAGCTAGAGACCTTGTTCGGATATGTATGTTGCATACCAAATGAAGCTTCCGGAAGCGGTAAATCAGTACAAACTATCAACCAATCAATAAGACATAATACGAACGATGTAGATAAGTAACATATTTTTATTTTGGTAGCTTGGCAATGCAATTTATCTAGACACTCTAGAGGAAGATCTAAAGTATGTGAGCAAACAAACGACATTTTATTACCTAACCGTGGGTTTCTGAGATCGAAATTCCCGTCTAAGCATATTGTTGTCTTTGTTTTGTCAAAGATAATGACAGGGATGGCAATATATTTTCTACAGATATTTTGGTCTCGGAATCCCACGGTCAATGTTGACTGCGAACTACCACTCTGTTGTAAATTATACTAGCTGTCGACTCCACGACTCCGTCCGCGCAGAATTTAAAAACAAAAACCTTAATGAGTAGTCATGTGTTCTTCCAGGCTATGTTCTACATCTATGCCAAATTGCAGCGAGTTTCTTGCAGCCGTTCTAGAGATACCTTCAAACAAACATCCATTCATACATTCACATTATAATATTAATAAGATATTTACCTTCTAGAACTGTTAGAGGATACTTCTGAGCCAGCGTGAGATAAAGAACGGCCGCGGCAACTGAGCCTACCACCTTGTACAGAACGGCGCGCCGCGGTGATGGTTCCGATTCATTCGATTTGTCCTTCACAACCTGTATTATTATATGCATATAATTTTACGCTTATATGTGTTTACAGCGTAAAACCATTTTTCCACTAAGCGACTGCTATTTATGTGAATAACCAATTCACGGGCTATCGCGTCTGATAAATCCTTAGAAATATTAGTCGTACGCCGTTAGTAGCTTAGTTGAAAAATAGTCTTAAAGTCCTTAGTTAGTCCATAGTCGAATCAGCTTATGTATGCTTATTTACAAGAAATTTACTAAAATGTAATCCTTTTTGAAGGTTGTCATATGCAAAGATTTGTTTTTGTCCATCTGAACCTTGAATATCCGAAGTCATTAATAAAATATCGTGATAATGAGCACATTTATTTTGTTTTTAAAATTAATAGTATGCATTACTGTGTTTTTATTTCTCTACGTAAAGTTTTATTTTAAAGTTTTATCACAATTGTATAGTAAAATTTATTACTGTACGTATTTAACTCACTGAATAATAATGGTCAATTAACATCAGTTAAACTACATACAATGTTTTAAACATAAAAATAATATAGTTTATATTTACCCCGTTAACTCGACCACTTTCAATAAATTTGATATAATCAGAGTAGAAGACGACAGGACCACACATGAGTGTCTGGAAGGCGAGCGTGTAGGCGAAGTATTCCAGAGGCGATGGTATCTTGTCTACTTTTGCTGCTGGACCGTCGCCTTTCGCATTATTGCAGTTCAACTCTTTCTTAAGCAGATTATCTTGTAGAAGATACGCTAGAGACGTGACCCTCTGAGTAATCACCATTAGAGGACCTGGTTGAAATAATAGCGGTTTAATAAGTAACAGTTTTTGAGCTGAAATAATAGGTCTGTTTCGATAATTTTTAGCGAAAATTACAGACAAATCATAAAACTAATTATTATTGGATTATTGTCAATGATAGATTACAAATTATTAAATTAGTGTAGTTCATATTTTTCTTAAATTCTGGAAATTCAATAAAAATGCAATGTAATTTGGTACAAATGTTACTTGAGTAGACGTTGCATTGGTATATACGCGTCATTAGACAATCTTTTTGCTATAGTTGTACGGTTCGTAGGTTATTTGTATCATTGATACAAACTGCGATCATGCATGCAAGTTGACGTAACATACATACGTTAACTGCTAATTGTTCAAACCAAACGCTAAACGCTTACCGAACTGCTAATAAATAATATAGCGTTAATGCAAAGAAAACAAACATTTTGGTGCATCACTCATACGCTAAACAAAGCAACGTTAATCAACTTTCTATATTTAGATCACTACACTAATCGTAAATAGGGACATTTACGTCAAAGACTTTGCAAGTCTATTACTGTATTATGTACCCTAAACCTCAAAACTTTTCATCATCACTATAGATAGAATGACCAACCAGTTATTTTTTTCTTAAGAGCAACATAACAACGTATGCGTCTATCATCTCAATAGTGTACTGTTGAAATTGACCCCTCCTAAGCGATGAGACGATGCGTCACTGCATAACAACGTGTTGTCGATAAATAAAATTCACGTGAAATATACGTACCTGTTATATCTAATGAATAATTCGCCGTATGATAGAGCTGCCGATGTAAGTGAAGACAGGACAAATATAACATTGACGTGGTCAATATAACACTACAAAGAGATTCTTAGTATCAGTTGACTTGTATTGAAGAAATCTATTATTTTATGATCTATATTAAATTGGATTGGCAAGGTTTATTCTTTCAAAAAAAAATTATATCCTCTAAAGTAAGTAGACTTAATAGATTTTAACTGTAATTATTTTATTTAGATAAAGTTTTATCTTAAATTATGAAATATTTATTAAATTTACTCATAAATTAAATGTAATACATACTTTCCCATGATGCGATGAGGTAACGTCTTTAAAAGTATAAAACTTAACATCGGTAGGATCGATAAATGGACCGCTTGTCTGAAAAAAAAATATTTTGATAGAAATTCTAAACCAAATTCGTTACTCAATAGCGAGGGGATATTTATGCATGTCGGAAGAAGAATACCATATTAGGTCAATAAAGACATTTTTTGATCTAGTATTTTTTTTAGAACAAACAAACCAGTGTACAAAAATTATACCATTAAAAGTTTTTCTGTTTGAATATCCGCAGGAAACTTATAGAAAAGATTAAAAGAGAAGCGGCCCTTCAAGCCTCTCTTCGTGTTTAAAATGGAGAATGATAAAATGAAGTCTATTATTGACTTATATATTCAACAATAACATGTGAATTAGTTAAAAGTAAAATAAGCATACCAGTACCAAACTGTTTTAAAAACAAGTTACATTGTTTATTGATTTAAAAAAAACGGTGATATCTATGCATGTAATTTAATCTTACTCCTTCTCATAAATATTTTCATAATATTTTTATCAATTTTATCGCTATCAGGCATAAATTAAAAAAAATAACGTGCACTTCTTATGGCAATAACACGCAGTTTTTGAATTATCATACAACTTCGATAAATATTTAAGGCGTGGTAGCTTTGGGGCGTGTTTTAATAAATTTTATTCAAACACAAAATCATTATTAGAAATGATAAAATTAAATCCAGGATGGGGTTTAGTATAAGGAGGTCACAATAAACATCGTCATTTTCTAATCTTACTAGGTAAAAAATAGTTTTCGGCAAATTATGAACTTATACTAATTTCTGAAATGTAGGGGGTCACCGTAGGTATCCACTGTCTCCAATTTCATATCAAAGTTTTTTTCAGTGAGCTTACGTGACGTTGTTAACTCATATGAAGACTAGTTAACACAACGCATGTCAATTAATATCTAAATACAAGTAAATTGTTGTCACAATTAAGTCTTTTAATGACAGCAGTTTCAAATAAAAAACTTTATTATCTTCGGGTCGTAAACGCGCGTGGATCAAAGACACAAGGATACAATGTACTTGCTTTATACATATCAAAATGTACATTATAAAGTTCAGTTTGTATTATATTCAAAACTCCATACCAGACTAATATAACCTTTACACCTATTATTGTATTTTTGAGATGTTCCCGCGCATATTTTGTTATTTGCGCAGTTGAATAAAAAAGATTTTTTGAATCCGTGCCCTGTCCTATTCTTTATCTTTGATAATGTGCGAACAAAATTAAACAAAAAAAATATTAAGTTGATAAGGGAATATTTTCGAAAAAACAATTTTACATCTATAAATAAAATTAGAGTGTCTGTATGTAAAATCGTCAAAAACCATATTTAGTGTACGTGATGTTTATTTATCTTTTGTCTGTCTGTCCGCAAGCCACGTTTGTTCCATTGCATCCATTTTTTTTTTGTGACTGAGTAGTCACTGTTGGCCTTGAAGAGGCATTTACAGCTTCACCGGCCTTGAGGCGGCCGAGCGCAGATGGCGCTTAGCCTGAACCTCGTTTAGGAGTAACAAGACTCGAGGGCTCCATCGGCTCGGTCTGTTACTTCGTTATAGTTACCGGATTGGGTTTGTTCCGAGTAATCTCCAAAACGGTCGACATATTTTGGCGGGACTTTCACTGAAAGGTAGCTGATGAAGTTGCGGGCGACCGCTATACTACAAAATATACGTTGAAGATTTATTTGCAGAGTAATAAATATGGTGGCGCCATTGTATGCAAATTAATCTTCATGATGTCATTTATTAAATTTTACGTTAATAAGAAGTTTTTTGTTAATTTAAACAAAAGTACAATCTGTTCCTATCTACTACCATAACATCAAAACAAAAACAAGAAAATCTATAATACATCCATTTACTCAATTTTTTGTGAAAAATATTTAGGACAAGTTCTATAGAAATTCGTGACACAAGTGTTTGTAAAACAAAAGAAAGAATAATAAAGGAAGTATTTTTCATGGAAATGCAAAAAAAAACACATGTGTGTAAATTGGCGCACTATCTGGCATGCCTGTTACTGGCTTGTGCCTGTCACTTGGTGCAAGTAAGCTTATTTTGGTTATATATTCTTATGTGTATTTTTAATGTGCGTATTTCTCACACTAATCTATAGATAGCCATTAAAAATTAAGAAAATTGCAACTAAGTATTTGCACAAGAAAAGTGACTCACAGCACTTGAGGTTCACATTCATATCAATACAATAGACTTTTATTGCCATCAATTGATATAGTCATTCTGCTGTGGAGAATGTGACGATTGCTATGTACGACAATTGATAAAATTCGCTACAGTGATATTATTTGTAACTAGCTGTAGCCCCCGACTATATTCTTTTTTCATTTAATTTGAAATGTTTAATGAATGTATGAATTAAATAAAATCATGTACATTATATGCATGGAATATGAAGATTTAAATTTGATTTTTCCACTCCTATGTTATTTATCTATATATACATGACACATTTGTTGTCACGTGGGTAAAAATGGTAATGCATCCAGTATTACCATTTGTCACCCGCTTAGATGATGAATTTATGAATATTGCTAAATTACATAAAAATCTGATAGTTTCATCAAGACAATCATTTTTGCTTTAGTTTTGGTAAATTGCAATTAAAATAAATCAGTGGCATGCCAAAAGATAAAATATAACATTGTAAAAAACTTAAAATGTTATGTTTATTGTCTAGGTTTTTTTTTTCTAGCTTGCAAAAATGAATAAAAATAATCATACATCACAATGTTAATAAAAAAAAATCTAAAAGCAAAACTTACTTTCCAAAGCAGAAATATCCCATTAGCAAACCTATAACAAGGCACACAGAATGACGAAATTCTGGTGAAGCAAGCCGCAATGGTTTCCGAAATAGTCTGGCCAGGCATAGTGCAGCTACTTGTGCTACCAAAAAATTAACCTAATGGAAGGAAAACATGACAATATGATATTTATAAAAAAATGTCATATTTGTTAAGTTTAAAATTGAAGTTTAACAACAAAAAGATATCAAAAAAAACTTTTTTTTAAATGATCTTAGTACAAAATTTAAGCAAAAGCAGCATACTATTAAATGTATGATTTTTAAATGCTTGATGAAAAATAGCCAATATCTTAATATGCTTATATGAAAAAACACACAGACTAATATCTATTGTACATGTTTAAATGTGCATATTTTGTTCCTAACAGACTATAAAATAATTTGTATGATAACTACATACTTATTTTGAGTGCAGTCACCTATTCAAGTCACACAATAATACTTACAAGATCTATAGGTAGACCAATTCTATTTGAAATAAAAAGAAACAATTTACTACCATCGTAGTAATCGTAGTATGTCGCCGACATCATTTATATTTTTCCCTGTAATAAACAAAACAGAATAGTCACAGGTTGGTTTTATAAGAAAACAATGATAAATTGGTATTAACTATAATTATTTCTTACGGTATGTGTTGTTTTTCTCTTGAAACTCTTAATTTACAAAGGCGTAGTACCCTGTCTTGTTACAATACACATCACAAATTTATTTTATTTTCACCAATTTTATCGTTAAAACGATGATGCTACATCGAAACGACTGACATACAGGTATAGGTAAATCTAGTTCACATTTGGTTTGAACCTGATCAACACCACATAATATTGTTGATCGAAAATTTGAACCAACAATATCTTAAGAGCAACGTACCTATAGGTAAATAATAAACATTAAACACAGGTACCATTTACTACACAGTGACAAATCAACTGTTTAAATGAAAACTGCATTTACTTTATAGCGTAGGTAAATAATGGCAAGTTAGTAATTGTAAAACGCAGTGTTACCATATTAAATCAAAAATGTTAAATCTGCCCGGCACTCGCAAAAAGAAACCCCAGACAGACTCCTGATAATTAAAAATTATACCCGAATACCAAAGTTGCATATATCGAACTTCAATAGGATAAACTAATGTTGTGCTTTGGCTCTAAGATCTGATCGAAATCAATTAACACACTGTTTAATTGTGGATTTATTCTGCTAAAATTACAGTTCTTTACTGAACCTGGTCACGTTGTTTGAAATGTCAATCTGACAGCTTTTGTCAAAGGATTGCCATCTTCAATCAAAATAAAAGCTTTTTTGTAGCAAAAAGATTTCTTTATTTCTTAATTTATTTAATCACTTCACTTCAAAGAATTATTACACATATTAATCTATTTTTTAGCAACTCATAAAATCCAGGCTAAAGCTGTACAATAAACGTCACTAGTTGTAACATTAGTATTAAAAATTATCATTTCCAAAATTTAATATGAATAAATAAATCTATATTTAGCTGGATAAAACAAATGATGCAACATATAACTTGATGATAGTATTAGTATCGTAAAATAATAAAGAAATCATTGTAATATTTATTTTAATAAATTATGCAACATATTTTTCAGTTTTCCAGAACACAAGTCAACTGGTGTTTTTCTTTCTTTATTTTGTATACTAACACTTGCGCCAGCTTTAACCAACATACAGGCTACTGCTTCTCTTTCTTCTTCACAGGCAAGATGTCTGAAAAATATTTACCATTGACATAATATTATGTTCACACATTCTGTTCCAAGACTCGCCTGGCATTTAAATACTTATTACAGACATTAAAAAATATTACTGGTTAGTCTATGACAGGATCCAAGTTTTAGTTTTGCTGAAATTTTACAACCTATTTGACTGAATACATTATAATATTAGGTAGGAGATATACAGGTAAATGTAAACATTAAAATTATTGTGTTATGGTCATAAATCACAAAAATACTCACAAAGCAGTACATCCTGTAGAATCACAGAGATCAACATTGATTGATGGACTTTCCAAAAGTAATTCCACAATACTACTTCTGCCTTGAGCGGCAGCTCTATGTAATGGTGTTGCTTTTAGCTCATCAACTTCATTGACTCTGGCATCAGCATCAATAAGCAGCTTAACAATCTAAAAATGTACTCTTAGTATCACACAGATTTTATTTTAATTACATGTTTGGAAAAGTATTTACACAATTAAATAAATAGGTTTTTATTTATTTAAAAGTAAATATATTTACCTCTTTGTGTCCCTTAGAAGCTGCATAATGAAGAGGTGTTTGCCCACGACATGTTTTATGATTTACATTTGCACCTTTATCAATCAGCAATTTAACAACCTCATATCTTCCGGCCGATGCAGATAATGTAATGGGACTGGAATTGGTGTCATCAACAGAATTTATAGGTGAACCTAACTCAATTAAAAAATCAACCAAATTTTTATTGCCACCTAATGCTGCCCAATGAATAAGAAGACGGCCATTCTGGAAAAGATATTAAGAAAATAATTATGTTCCACACAAATTTATTTTTGTAAATTAATAAAAAATACATATCAAATTACCGAATCGGGTGTTTCGATTAAGGACTTATCATTATCTATTTTTACTTTAACTTGATTAAAATCTCCTTTATAGGCTGTTTCGTAAATGGTTCCAATAGACATATTTGAAGATAATCTTTATTACTTGAAACAGCTCTTAAAGTTAATGTAAAGATATTGCTATCTCAACTGCTGGCTATATTAAACTCGATTTAACTTGTTTCGGCTTATGTTTGAAATAATGCTTGTCATTCAGTAGTTTGTTTTGCTATAAAGTTTGAGATAAAAATACTTTATAATTTGACGTTGACGTTAAACGTCAATTTAACGTTGACAATACCTTGTCTATAGTCAAATAAAGACATTTGGGCCGGTGAGAATAGTTCTGCCGGAAAATAGGTATGTAGAATCTATGTGGGCTTAGAAAATAGAACTTCTCTGTTTTTATCATCAAATTTATTCTTAGATATTGTCTTGTGAACTTTTTGAGGTTTGACTTATGCCCACCGGATCAGAGAGGCAAACATCTTTGTCGGTCGTATCACTATACTAACCGCAGTGTACTGTGGAAGCCATTGGGAAAGGGCTTTACCCAGCTGTGGGCAGAAAAGGGCTGTTGATGATGATGATGATGATGATGATGCGACGTGTCTATGAATATGCTGACTGCTAACCGATCATGTCAAAATGCACTCTCAATTTAGGCTGTATGGCTTAGTTCCTTTGCCTGCTCTTTCGAGTGAATAATAAAAACAACAACAATCTCAATGTAATGTCAATGTCAAATTTGGTGGAGATGAATTGAAGTGTATGTAAAGTAGAAATCAATATTCATGTTCACTGAAAAAGAAACAAATTTTACAATTCAATCAATATGAATTTGTAGGAAGTAATATTTTATCTTTTCAGTAGTGAAAAATTCCCTTTGAAGCAACCCTTCCTTCATGTTTGGGTCGATTTCTCAGCTGTAATCAGCTTTATTTATGAGATGATTTAAAAGTGTACAAAATGAAGTCTAAATTATCATTCGAGGATAAAGTTGAACTTATCCATAACCTTGACGTTAAAATCGGTTCCGATATTAACAATTTAGAAGATGCTTACGAAGTTGAACAAGAACTGCAGCGGAAAAAAAAGCAACTTGAGAATTATATAGCTCACATTTCTGGCATTGTTAATTTAAATCAGACACAACAATTATCGCCCATAAAAGGCCTAGGTACCGATCAAGTGTCTGCCAAACATTCGGCGACTATTCAAAAAGCTGAAGCAAATATAAACCAAATAACAGATATTAAAAACAAGAGTGTCAAGTTAACAACAAAGATAGATCAATATCTTAGCAAAACGGAATCTTTTAGAGAGGAACTTGATAAAAGATTTTCCACCATTAGCAAACTAGAAGGAGTGTTATTATATTTTAAATCATTTGAAAAGATTGATGACTTAAGGTAAGTTTTGTATGTATTTTTAGGAATATTTGAAAATAATTTGACACATAGTTGAGTTCTAAGTTTTTTCTGTTTTAACCAAGTTAAAAAAACATATATTTTATTTTACCAACAATGTTCATTGTTGCAAAAATTTTACATAGTCTAGATGCACCCATCATTTCAATTTAAGAAACAAATTCTAAGTTATAAAAGTAAAAAGTTATTTCTTACTTTCTCTTAATATGTGTCATATTGTTTAGTCGTCAAATGAAACAATGCCGAGACAATGAGCAGTTAATTCAACTTTACGGAGAGCTAAAGGACATGTGCAGTCAGCAGACGCAGGGACACCAAGCTGCTTACATAAAAGAATATAAACATTACTGGCATAATTTATTAAAAGAAAATTTTACCAAGTAAGTAGACATTCTCCTGTTTTTCAAAGAAATGGTTACATCTTACTAGTATTATAAATGCGAATGTTTGAATGGATGTTTGTTTGAAGACACTGTTAGAACGGCTGCAAGGATATGGCTGAAATTTGACATAGATGTAGAACATAGTCTGGAAGAACACATAGGCTATAAATTAAGTTTTCTTTTTATTTCTGCGTAGATGAAGTCTCGGGGGACAGCTAGTATTATATTATAGTTATTGATTTTGATTTTATTATTGGCTTCAATGTATATTTTTTAATTTTTCCAAAGGCATTATGAAGACATTTTAAAAGTACTAAAATGGCCTATGACTTCAACATCTGAAAGTTCTCAACCTTCTAAAGATGCACTGATGAAATTTAGTAACCTTACCAGATACTTGTTTATTATACAAGAACCAGAGGATCTAATACCTAATAGCAATTTAGAAGACTTGAGTTCAGGTATATATAGATTTACATAAATTCATGGCAATCTAAATATATTCCATTCCAGTATGTTAACTGTTAAATATAAAATTTTGAAACAAATGTTATTTAATTTAAATTAAATCAAACTTTTAGGTTCACACACAAGTCTACCTGTAAGAATTATGCTCAGACCTTTAAAAAAGAGATTTCAATTCCATTTTACGGGTACACGTCAAACAGCACGTATCGACAGACCCGAGTGGTTTTTAACACAAACACTTACTTGGATAAAAGATCATCGGAAATTTGTCAATGACCATGTGCAACCAGTTGCCGATAAATTGGAACTCAGTCACATTAATGCTGTGGTAAGTACTTTTTAACAACATAAACAAACAATTTAGTACAAAATTCTTCATTATAACAATACTCTTTGATACGCACCTCTTTTTTTATAACAGGATGAATTCAATAATGGCCTTATATCATTTGCTGCTGAAAGACTGCACACAGTTCTAGGATTGTATATATCTCAAGGTTCAAAAGGAGAGATTGCGGATGTTGATGCAGCTTTCGCACATGCTGTAGATGAGACTCTTGGCTTCCATAGAGAATTACAGAGCCTTACTGGTTATCCATTAAATATGGCACTGCATGTACTTACTAAAGCCGAGCATTTTGTTCGCTGGATAGCTGTGGAAAAGAAGTGTAAGTAATTTTTCTTTTTTTTTAATTAATCTGCTTTAGGTGCTATTGTTTATTATATCGTGTTTTGTTATCAGATTTGTATATTTACTTGTTAATTTTTTTTAAATAGACATTACCTCGATTTTTTTTCAAAGTTTTTGCAATATAGTTACGACAATAAATATTTTTTTTTGTCCAGGTGACAGGAGAATGTTGTAATTTTAACTAGTTATATTTGTTATTTTTTTAATTTGATATTTAGATGCATTAGCTAAAATGGACGAGGCGTTGGAGAGCGAGCAGTGGTGTGAGCCGGTGGCGGCGGGCGTGAGTGTAGCAGTGGGCGCGGCGCTGTGGGTGCCGCGTAGCGCTGACTGGTTCATCGCGCTGCTCAAAACTATCGAAGATAGATACGCCATGCTACCACAACCGGGACATAGGTATGTCACTCTCGTTATATAAATTACTACTCGGAATTTTAATTACACATCAGGACATAGCAATGATTACATTTGGCTGGTCTCATATTAATATTTAACAATGTCGTGTTTGAGTTAGTACTTCGGATAGAAGAGTATTTTGGTTCCTGGTGTGCCAAAACTGGTTACCTGATGGAAAAAGAAAATAGAATGAGGGTTGTTGGTGCAGACTGCAGTTTGTGGAGCTGCAGCTGGAGCTGATAGAGGAGTGGCGGGTGCGGCTGACGCAGCTGCTGGGCGCGGCGCTGCACGAGCTGCGGGCGGAGTCGCTGCTGGGTGCGGGGCCGCACCCGCTCACCGCCGTGCTCAATGCCGCGCACTACACGCGCACCGTGCTGCTGCAATGGGCGCACTCTCTGGTCACTTACTTACGCAAATTTATAATTAACTTGATGTCGTCCGCGATCATTAGTAGCCTATGTGTTCCAGGCTATATTCTACATGTATATGCCAAACTTCAGCAAGACCATGCAGCCATTCCGGAAATACCTTCTAACAAACATCCATTCATCAATCCATTTAAACTTTCGCATTTACAATATAAGCAAGATTAATGCACTGACTAAATAAGTATGAATAAAATAAGTATAAATACTTAACTAACATTGTTATTTATGTGGATATTTTTAATTGATTTCATGTTTTTTTTTGTATTTCCAGCATTACTTGCAATTGCACTTCTATCGGCGACAGTTTGAACATTTCACGCAGCAGCAGCACAAAGATGATGAAGTGACACCTGCAGAGACCACGGTTGAGGAAGAATCCGAAGAGAAACTAAATCAATCTGCAACAGGTTATATTTGGACAAAATTGAATAGTTGCAACCATTCTGAAGATCATTTCTAATAAACATCCATTCAATCCATACATTCAAACATTTGCATTTATTGTTAAGATTTGTAGTTGCTTTAACATCTACAATATGAATAATTTGGGCACTAATTTTATAAATAATGAAGTTTTTTTTGTGCAGCAGAAGATATTTACCATACGATGTCTATAAACGAGTTGGAATTCAAAGCTAAAATGTTGGCTCTCAACGAAATGTCACGTCAGAATTCTGTCGCGAACGAACCATCGTTTACCC